GCTTTTCTAGGACGAAACGTTTGGTGTTCTGGATAGATGAGTCGCTTAATGGGGTTGAAATGGTTACTTTAATACCTGGCTCCGACAGAGACAGTCGCACGTGCAGGTTCAACTATATGATAAACGTAATGTTTAACGTCTGTAGTTGGAACTCCAAACGCGAAGAACTACTGTGAGGTAGTGATAAAGGCGAAATAAAAACGCTAATTAAAAAAATCAAGCAATGAAACAATGACGCTCTGCCATCAGTGATTCAGGCTGCGACACACTATACCGGATAGATTCTAGCCCGGGGGGACTCCGCACATGAAAGGGGTGGGGATGCTCGTCGGAAATTTTGAATTAAACCCCTAGAAGAGACCGATCTGGGCGTAGCCCAAGGTTTTTTTGACCCCTAAAAGAGACCATGTTGAAACATAGAAAATATATAAATATTTGTTTTTTTGCGTGCGTCCCTAAACGAGACCTTCACGGCTAAATATGATGGCGTTTTGCCCAGAACACCCTAAGTGAGACCAAAATCCGAAATTTATACCCCTAAGCGAGACGACGAGCATCCCCACCCGTACCCCTTTCATATGCGGAGTCCCTCCCCCGGGGCTTCTAGTGGCGCCACGAAATTAAAGCTTGCCGGCGTGGTTGGCCGAGAGGGATTGGTGCACTAAATTCCAGTCTTCACTCCTGAATGTTTACTCAGTGGCTTCCAGTCTTCGCTCAGTCCTGTTTATCTACTTCCGCAGTGGGTAGGCTTTCATACTGCCATACTGCACTAAAGTACGGCACAAAAATATAAATTAAACCATGTGACTCTCCACTTTCGAGATCGGCGTAAAGCCGCTTCACCCCGTCACAGATAGAGCCTGCGTAGCCGGAGGGCCGTGGTTATTTAACGCGAGCAAAGTTTTGGCAGAGGAATTGCGAAGCAGTGTTGAAAATAGCCTCAGGGCTTAAGGTTGTTTTTAAAAAGTATTAAAGCATGATATATAAATTTGGTAGTTGTTGTTGTAGAGTATTTTCTCATCAGCCTTTTCTCAAAGATGGTGCACAGCGAAGGGATTAATGTACAATTCTACGGGATCATCATGCTGTAATTACTGATGATATGCAGTTATCATCACAAAATTGCACGAAAAATACAATTCACTAAAATTTTCACAAATAAAATAAAATTTTAGCCTTTGCTGGAGCATAAAACTAACGAACAATTGATAACGAATAAGACTAACCAGTATCCAGAGTAAAAAGTAGGCGATGATAAAGGTATAGCTTTTGGTGTGAGAGGGAATAATTTCAAGAGGGTTTTTATAAGCGAAATATATATTTATAATACCCATATATTTTCTAGTTTGCATGGGAATGGACCTCGGAACGGGTCTTCACGTGCTTTCTAACGGAAGTCAGAGGCAGTGTCTTATCTGTGCATATGACCCCAATGTGACAAAGAATTCTTTTTCTAGCGCTATTTTAGCTTCAGCCTTTTTAGAGCAAGGGCTGACAGTCTTGACAATGTTTCTTCATAAAATTTTAAATTCAGTGATATTTCACACCACTATTTTCAGGTGAATAGAGAAAGAGAACTATAAAAACTTCCGTTCACTATTTTCACCTGTATTTTTAAAAATGCTGTCAGTAGGCCGATATAAATCAGTACACGTTATTTCCGCTATGCCGCCCTTTGGTTGAATTGGACTTTGTTCAATCGCAAAGACCAGGTAAACTGATACATCTGCACAGGTGATATCGCGATTTGTATGCAACAAAAACGCAGGATCAGACTAGGGATACCTATTACGTAATAGTGCTCAACTGTTGCAGTTGTTTTGCCTTATTTTCGAATTCGTTTTCTCACAGAAGGCAAGGGGTAACCACCGGAGCAGGATTTTGTGCTTTCGTCATTCCCTGATTGGCTCATCTCGGCGATGTATCTCACGATCCGGCTGAGTAGCCAAAGCATTGGAAAATCGCAATGGGTGATCGCTGGGTGATCACTTTATGACCGAAATCGGCCGAAACCGAGCTAGAAAGGAGATAAATGACAAGAAAGACAACATCGAAAGAAGGTACATTTACTTAAATTAGTAAATAACGTTTTTGCGTGTCTTCATAGATGGAAACTTTGATAATAATTGAACCAACCATTGTATCACAACACCCGAGATATTTTAAGGTAAGATCACTTATTGTCTCTATTGTATTCTTTGAGCTTGGGGGCGCTTATAATCACGTTATGAATACAACGTTGCATAGTCCTTTTTGCAACAAGGTCACAGGAGTAAAGCCAGAGTAAAGGAAACGTTAATCTTCTGACCACTTTCACCACGACCTACTAAATATTCCACCCCGTTAAAAATCAGCACTGTGTTCATGGAGTTTCATTTTCATAATCCTATCTCGTATCGTACATAAACTAGAGACCTCTTTAATCCCTAGTCCTCACTGATGTTTGAAAGTTCGTTTCGATTTATATACTTCGATGGGGAACCCGAATTTCTATTTTAAACTTCATTTTGTAATTGTGGGAGGTAGGCACTTAATGACCGGTTCAGCGAACATTCACTGCATTGATTGCATTCCTCATGGTAATCAGTTCTTTTTTACTCATGTTTCAAACAGGTGGAATACAAAGAGTTCTTGATACACTGCAGCTTGGGCTCTACTCTTAAAGTTTTTCTCATTCTCAGCCGGTCTATGCGTGACTCGACACGGGACATCGTTGGCCAGTGTTGCTGATCTAAAAACCGATTCCAGCGAGTGAAGATACAGAAATGGAAATGGAACATCACAAAGCAAGTTCTTGATGCAATTAACAGTCATCAGTATCTGGGAGCTTCCGATTCCTTGTTGATGGAAGTTTTTTGTTAACCATCGTTAGACGAACTTATATTTGACCATCATCTAGCTATGCGACACAATCGATATGCGCGTTTTTAATAGGAGTCCATTAGGATCATGACATTATTGCGACAACTTGCCAGATGTACTCATGTAGAATGCCAGCAGCGCCGAGGTGATTAGCCCGCAGAACAGGCATTAGTTTATCGTGTTTTATAGGCGAGCGAAGGTTAGCGCGAAGCTGGCAAGGATTGCGGGACACACCCAACACGGCAGCTGGCGTTTTTTCCGCGCCTTCCCTAGTCGCGCCTTTTTCGCGCTCTACGCCAGCTTCGTGCTTCGTTCGTCCGATTTTGAACGCGAAAATATAGCGCCTGTTCGCTGTTCTGCAGGCTAAGCTGGCAATGTAATTCTCACTTTCTCCTCGGCGAATTAATCGAATGTAGTATCAACTGGTCAAAATATAGGCTCATCGGCCTTCTTTGTCAAATGTGTTTGTTTATATCTTTGTAGACTTAGCGTTCCTAGCGTTCATAGCACTCCTGTCGTTTTAAGCGAAGTGACCATCAAGAGAACCGCCTCGCTACCTTTGTCACAATTTCGCTAAGATTCCTGGGAACTACTCACCAGCCCCTCCCCAGACCAAATTGTGCACTGCAAGGGAACTAGCCCAGTGAACGGGCGCTGGTGTTTTCGCTTTTTTCAGGCGAGCGATGGCAAGCGAGAAGCGAGGGAGGAGCTCGAGACTCGCGCGCTTCGTGCTTCGTTGGCCCGAAATCCGCGAAAAGCAGCACCTGTTGAGGGCTAAAAGGGAACTCCCGGATTAGTCTTTTGTACATTATGCTAGAATTTCTTTGAGCATTTTAGTGAGACGATAGTACTAATAATTACGATTCGAGCGTTTTAATGGCATTTTCTGAGAAAAGTATTTACCGAGCATTTTAGTGGGTCTGAAACGGAGCATTAAAGTGGAGTATTTTTATAGTGAGTGAAAAATTCAAAACCAATGGTAGGTGACTTATTATTATGCTCTCAAATCACACTTTCACGCGACTGCAAATAAGGCACGTGATTGCTAGTTGAGTCCTCAAAGGTTAACCTGTGCGTCTCGTATGTCCTTTGTTTCATCAGGGTAAACAAAAAAGGAAATGCAGCACGTATTACTGTTACAGCAGGCTATCAAAGATCAGTCAAGGCGTGCGTTATGAGCGACCCAAGCGAACGAAAACACAAAACCGCGCGATATGAATGACTTCATGAAAGTCTAGATTGAGAAAGGCCGCTGAAAAAAATTAACCCGGTTACAGTCTGGAAAATTTTTCACCGGGTTTTTCAAAAACTAACGCGGTTAACTCGCCTAGTGGTCCAAGTGCGGCCGCAGTATGTCACGGAGGTGCGTTGCGTTATGAGACAAAAGACTATTATTTTGTCACGTTCGCGGGTTCTGAAACTGACGTGATGTAAACAAAGACCCGTGAAGACATTTAGATTTTCTATTGACCTCGCCTTTGGATTTAATCAATATGTAATATTCCTTTAGGTGATATTTATATAAGTATTAACGGAGGAAAAATGTAAGGTTCAGTATTGCGACGGGTCAGGAGCCGACTTCGGCAGCTCAGTTTTTTGAACGAGCAAATCCTTCCTGAACTAATACTTTTCATGAATTGATACATGTACCCACAATGTGCCTGCCCACAATGTTAACTTGACCTTCAAAGTTCAAATTGTCAAACAATACAAGGTTTTATAAATCATAACAAGTCGACCATGACGTGGTGGCTAAGCGAGAAACACAAATGCCCGAGTCACGCTATTGATGTTGCTTCAGCGAGAAACGTATGTATACATGCATGTCAATAAAAAATTAGATGCCAAATCGATCCCGCATGTGGAGAAAAAATTTGCAGATAACTTCAGTGAGGTGATAAATAGTAAAAGTCGAAAAACGACTGAGCTGAGGATAACAAAAAGACAGACAGAAATCCATTTTTTCATAGAGTACGTGATATGTTTCGAATTAATGTCAGTTATCACTATCTCCCGATTCCGGTCAACGAATAATGCTAAAGCTAACGCAAGCCTCGCACGTGATGAGGCCGTGCCACTTGGAAGTCCTAATACGACGATGAATTTTAATTAGCATGGCATTCGCTTTACACGTGTTCTGACTGTCAAAAACAACGAGAAAATGTCATCTTTTTTAATTGCTAAAATTCTCTGTAGCTCATCATTTCTCGCCTCAGTCGGTGAACTAAGACTTGCGAGAAACCACTTCGTAGGATCTGGAAGGCGAATTTTTCAAGCCAAGAGTTGTATTATCCCGACGATTTTTCGACGTCCGCGTTTTGCCGGTGGATAGAAAAATATTTTCCCCCGCTTGCCAGTAGATTTGCCGGTAAGTTCTTGGTCCTCGCGCCAGAATTTCGATTTATATTTTTTTTGTAGCGCGGTATACCGTCGCGTCTATTGTCATCTCGCTCCTTTACGTAATTTCAAGTAGCTAAAGGTACTTTTCATCGTTAGGGATTTGTTTTGGCTGAGTGGACATAGACAAAAAATAATATTATACATTGCAAGCTGAGCGAGGTTCCTATGGCCACAAGAAGCGATCTTCAAGGACCTTACGAAGGTTTTGATTGGAAATTATTCTGTCAGATGCCTTCATGCCCATTCAACACCGATGGCATAAAAATTTCAAGCTGGTGGTTATTTCTATGCATTTGCTACCTCAGTTGTTTTCTCATTGGGATTATTTTTACTGTCAACGGTTTCGCTTCGATGGGCAATGAGATGGCCGCTGTCGGCGTAGGTTTGGTGATCGTTGGCGCAAGTTTGGCGATTGTCTGTGACGTTTTACGGCGGCTTGGCGTAGGATGGACAAAAATTGTTCCGGAATCACCTTATCCTTCTCGTCAATTTGTCCATACCAGCGGGGAATTTGGTTTTCCTATTCCGTTTTTACCCGGTTATCCGGGATTTTGTTCTGGCGGGGAGGAAACACGCTGCAACAGCCCCCCTCCTTATGTAAACTCCCCGCACGGGGACGACTCGGTTGCAAGACCTACCATAACTTGTATTAATGAGAGCGAATCCCAGGCGGTTGTATCAATTCGTGATAATCCTGCAGGTAGATACTCTACAACTTCAGAGACACCACGATGTGAAACAATCATAACTGAGAATTTAAGGCAAGCAGCGTTAGTGCTTGTTACTCCTACGGGCATCGAGCACAGAACTCTTAATCCTCCTCCACCTCCTTACGACTTCGCATCGGCTGATAGAGAGGATAGAATATCGTGGTTATATGATACCCCGCCACCATATGGAGATTTTGTGTAGAAAGAGAAGCCATCTGGACGAAATTATGGATAGATGAATGAAAGTTAGTGGCAGGTCCCATAGTATCTTCGTACCACTCGAGTTTGTCATTTGACACGACATGTTTGTTGCCTTGTAACGTTATGCACCCGGCCGGGCGTTGCAGTAAGAAATCAGAGACTTGTGAAAGCATCACGTATATCAACCTTACTGCAAATGGTCAAAAATGACCACGCAACTGTTTTTCTGCCTTTTATAAACTTGCTATTCTTTGGCCGTTTTCAACATGAGGAGGAGTTCTCTCACGTGCATAACAAACGTGAATGAGAGATGGCTTTAATTTCGTTCGCAGATACATTACTAATCCTTTGACCTTCTCTCTGTTTGCTGTTTGAGGTATATCGCGTGATGCTGTTAAGCTAAATCTCTATTACGTAATAGAGTAAAACTTTCAGGGAACTCTCCCTTTGTCAAGGGCTTGGCTCATAATGTGCCTGTTATGCAGGCTATTTTTTTGTGTCCTCGCGCAAAGCTCTTCGTGGGTTGCGTGAAGACCTTAAAAAAAAAACAGCTGCGTGGGAGACTACCCAGCTAAAAAGCCCAAAGTGCTTACTTGTAGGCTTCGTCAGCAGCCGTGTGAACTCAGTGCGCTATTACATGAGATGCTATGTAAAGATCTTTTAAATAACAATCATTCTGTTTTACTGGTCAGAGCTTATTAAAAGGTGGATTACACTTTCCAGTGCACAAATCTCGTATTAAAGCTGTTGGTACTGTTAAGCCGTTAAGCCATGTTGTACTGAGTACATAGAGTTGACAATAGAGAAGGATTTAAGGGAAACTTAGCTTGGTACAAAAGAGGTTTGGCCTATAATCTGGTCTGCTTTTTCTCGTCCAGTCTTAATTTTGCGTTTGTCCAGTGAAAAGCGTTCTCCACCTGCAAGCAAAATACCAGTAACTGAACTGTTTGCACTAAAATTTTCCTCTAAAAAATATCTCTCTACGAGCTAGTGTAAACGAAAAAGTCTTCAAACATTTATAGCAGAAATACTGCCAAACAAAGAACTATTAATGTTGTAATTTATTGCAAGGAGAGGCTAAGAAATATTTTAACTTTGTTGACAAATAAGATTCCGCTTACTGCTCTTCTAGATCTTGTAAAATGTATTTACAGTGCGGTATATAAAATGTGCAGAGAAACCATCATCAGTTGCGTTCTCGATTTACCTTTTTCATTTGGAGCAAAAAACGCGCGATTTTTGGGCGATTCTCGTTTCCTCCCTGGAATTGATATTTCAGGTGATGATATGTGTTTTTTTGTCTTTCCCTTTTGCGCGCATCACTTATCCCGCGCCCTAGATTTCTTATATCCTTGCAACGAAGGCTGCAGTTTTGCTCGTTCTACTTGCTCCAAGAATGAATTTATTAACCATGATTAACATCTACGTGACTTAAGCGGAGGACAGTCCAATATTTCTGTTTTAAAGAGTTAAGTAAGGGCTACACCGGGCAGGTATATAGGAGCATACATGACAGTACAATTGGAAAGAAAAGGGAATCGTTTATCCTTATAATTATCGGATCAATATTTCAGAGGTTATTTGTGACTCCTTTGAATCTTTTAGTTATTTTTTGTAATATCTTACTCATTTTTGCATCCCTATGTTCCAAATCACATTAGGTATGCAACCAACCTAATTGCCATGCATGGTCCCCTAAAAAATATGAATTGCAGCAGTTAATGTGGTCTCAAGATGGACCTCGCACAGCACTTACCGAAAGCAGGAAATACTGCTTTGCGAGCAGAGCCGAACAGATCATAGGGGGATATCCCTGGAATTTAGTTTAGTGACAAAATGAAACGCGCGTTTCACTAAAACATCAGCCACTTAAAAAGTTATGTACGATCCTGTCGATGTGAGAATTTCAGTCTCAAACAAGCGTTAGGTCTGATGGGGGTCCGGACCCTCCCCCTGGATCCGCCACTCGAGGAAAGAAGGACTAGAAAGAATAGGTTTCGCCAGCGACTATACAACAAGATCAGTAGAAATCCTCTCTCTTTCCGGTCGCCCCTTGTAAGGAAATCCAGGATAGTTTTGGATTCTGGATCCCACGCTGTGGATCCCGGATCCTTGTCAAAGGAACTCGGATTCTGGATTCCAATCGTTAGCGGGATTCTGGATTCCTTGAGCTGAATTCCGGATTCCAAAACCCTGGTTCGTGATTGCACAAACAAAAATTATTTGCGGCGATCCCGTTCTGTGGTTTCTCCACATTTCTAATTTCTTTCACTGAGAATGATGGGTTTTTTTATGGCAACATCACCGGAATTGTCACATCAAAATGATTTGGGAGTCCTCTTTTTTTCTTTAAATGTATGGATCTCATGACTTGAAGAGGCAGATATTAGTTCTTGTTAGAGACTACCTCAGCTGACGTCTGTCTGATATGATATGATCGTGAATTTGTTCTTGGTAGGAGCAAGAGATCACAATAGTCCTACTATGATCTCTTGGTGGGAATTTAGCTAATCCGGATTCCGGAATCGGGACTTTAATGCTTGCGAAATCTGGAATCCTGGACTTTGGAATCTTGAAGAATTCAGCTCAAGGAATCTTGACTGTCGACGATTGAAATCCGGAATCCAAGTAATCTGGAATCCAGTACCTGGAATCCTGATCCAAGATTTTCTGGATTGCCTTTTAGGCGAAATTGGTAAAACAAAAGAGAAAAAAAAGTAAGCCATGAGGTCAAAGACAATAGAGAGATTTAGAATCACAATTGACGCAAAACGTGTCAGTCGACAATGACTGACCGTTTCGACAACCTGTGCAGTACGTCAGTTGGTGGTATTAAACTCCGGTTATTGACCTTTAGTATATATACTAAAACAGTTGGTAGTGTTTTCCGCGCGTTCTGATTGGCTACTCATCAGTGAATATCCTGCACTATTCACTGATTCACCTCCAGTTCCTCCGAGCGAGGGATTCCAAACTCACGTAAGTTGCGAGCAAAATGCCTACCCGGGTTGCTGCCGCAATGTAGAGGACTAAGTAGAGAGGACTGAAATGGACTGTTCCCAAGCCCTGAATCAGGGGATGATGCAATCGAATGTAATCGGAACGACTGAGTGTCGAGTGCAGTAACGGATGTTGAGTTTTACATATTATTTGTCGTTTAGCTGTTTTCTTTGACCTGGATTGGGCTAACAGTAAAAAACAGAGAAATTTCACAACTAATTTGATAATCAAGCAAGCTGTTCCCGAAATACACGAAGAAGGTGACGAAGTTCGGGGTGGAAGTTTTAACAGGTAAAGCTTTGTCTTTTTGACTTGAATTTATCGATAAAACCGGCGAAAAAGTTTTTTGTTTACAAATGCAAGTTAAGCTTAAGTCTTGCGTTACTTTATTTAGTTGACTTGTTCATAAATAAGCTTTAAACTAAATTTAATAATCTGTTTTACAGGATGCTTTTAAGCTGACAAAAAGAATTCACAACTCCTTTTGAGGAAATTTCCCCGCAAGAGCTAAACAAATGCCTTAAAAAGTTTTATTTGTCGGCAGAAAAAGCGACGACCGCGCCGTTCGGTCATTGCGCGCCAAAATTGTGATCGTTGAAGCAACAGTAAATGAGTTAAAAATCTTCATTTTTGTGCTCAATTATCTCACTGTTTTATTATATACTAAAACAAGTATTCACCTCAGTGTCGGTGGCCACCACTAGCCACCTCCACTTCGGTGAATAATTGTTATTTATTCTAGGACTTTGTTATTGGAAATGTTGGGGTGTTTCCTTTGAAAATATTCCTTACCCGGAAAAACTAACCTCGAAGAGGCAGGTATAACCAATAAAATTTTCCTGAGTTGATGTGGTCTAAACTACGCTCAAATTTTCAATTAGGGTGTCGCCCCACGTAAGGGAATGTGAGGAATCCAGGACAGTCTTGGATTCTTCATTCCACGCTGTGGATTCCGGATTTCAGATACTGAATTCCAGTCTTTGTCAGTGGAACTTGGATTCCGGATTCCAAAGCCCAGGATTTCGGATTCCACAAGCAAAAATTTCCCTTTCATGAAGCGAACGATACACTCGCTGACGCAGCTGGACTGAATGGCCCCGGACTAAAGGAAAACCATTGATTCAGTCTCGCTTTGATCATGTTCACTAACACTTTCAGCGGATACCCTCAAATGACAATCAAACTGTTGTTCGTGTAAACCTCGTGCCCAGAGGTTTTCAAATCTCACTCTCTCACTTCTCTCCTTCCGTTCCTTTCTCAGGTCAAGGGCACTTAAAAACCGAAGATTTTAGGTCGGTACTAGTTCCTTTCTAGTACTGTGTGGTATCCTTGAAAACATAAGTGCAGGCCGCAATTAGTAGGGGATTTACGTTGTACAAATTAACTGCCCGCGAGACAGGCGCTTTTTTGGGGGGGGGAGGGGGGATGGGTGCGTTCAGGCGGGTTTTGGGGCGCGAAGGCGACAGCTGATAAACGGGCTAAACGGCTGGTGGATTTTCAATGACAATAAAACCGACTGTTTCCGGAAAGCTCAATCCGTTTCTTTGGTTTTACTCTCCAACAGGATTTGCTATTAAAATCAAAGTTGGAAGGAAATTTCCATCTAAACGATAAAGCCACAGCGTCAGAGCAAAAAACTATCTCGTAGCATTATTCGGGGCATTATCATTCATTACAAAGTCCCTGAGACAAACGTTGTAAAACTGTGTCAGGGCGAACAGTCCTCAAAAGCGACTCTAGTTGCAGTCCGCTTTAATGTTAGCAAAATGTTCCCGGACTGTTTGAAAGAAAGTTAATTTTTATAATTCACTACGTGACCACTTCCCAATGGCTTATATTTCAGTGGCTAACTTTCGTGACGAGACTGTCAATGTCTTTAAACTGAAACCGAAAAAGTGCTTGAAATCCCCTTTTAATTGAGCGATCCAATTGAATGTTTTGACATAATATTATGCAATTCACAACTGTTAGAAATCACACACACAAATATCGATCCTGTTCTCGGTTCGTATCGCAACTTAGGTAAGTAATTCCGCCTTTTTTTCGATTTACAATAATGATATATATATAACACTGAGATTTTTCTTCTCTGGAAAGCTGCCAGTGTGCCGTGTGTGATTTTAAATGTCTGGTCAAATGCAAGGGGACGCGCCGAAGGTTCGCGTTTTTTCTGTAGCGGTTTCGAACTCTACATCAGCAAAAAAACAAACTTTCCTTTACGGCGGAAGTGCCATATAAGATTGTATTTTCACTGAGTATTTTAGAAGTGTACTGAAGCTCATAATTTTTTCTCATGTCATATTTTCTTGAAGATCGCGAATTCATCAAGGACAAGTACAGCGTTGGTTTCAATCATTGAACAAAAATTTCACTCGGCAAGAAAACATTTTTTTTAACAAACGAAACTGAAATTTCCCCTTTTAAAAGTCTTGGCAAGCATTATCATTACGTCAGAATAATAAAATCGTGTACTCATTAATTATTAATCAACAATCACTGCGCACAGTTTTAACACGATCTAACGAAACTCGATATGCAGGGAGCAAAAGTTTATGCCAATGTTAATTTAGCTTTCACTTTTTTGAGAAGGATTAGGTCACGTAATGGCACGGCGGAATCGGTACTATTTTTGAAACAATTTTTTGATTAATGCAAATTGCCTCCTGTTTTACGCAATGTTTCAAAGTTCTGAAGCTGTAACTTCCTTCTCTTTGTCAAAAACCGGAATCGTCCATATCCCTACCTGTTATATCGCCTCGGTCAGTCAAAGGTCGTCAAACGCCTTCAAAAATCAACAGTCTTCAAATGGTTAATAAATTTCATGAATAAAAGACCCCCATAAAAAGGTAAAGCTTTCGCTTTCTCGAAAAACCGTAGGCCATGTTTTGGCAGCGGACTTGGTTACTGATTTTGAATAAGGCTAATGCTTGTTGTATGTATATCGTCACGGCCGGTTTCCTTTTGGTTTTACGTAAGAGAGAACTTCTTGTTTCACGCGCCAGTGAAAGTTCCGAAACTATAGAGCATCCAGTGGTTCCCTTTATAGAAAAGTAGCCACACCCCGTGCTACTTTTATCGAACAATCTTTTCTCTAGTAGTTTACCCAATCCTTAATTTTTTAACTTCATAAATAAAAGTAAGTCAGCTTAGCATTCCCTTTTTTATAAACCTCCTGGCAAACACTGTCAATGATTTTGTATTAGGCTATTGCAATTAAAACATGTTAATGCAGCTTACACCTTTTCGAGAAACTGTAGGCTTCCTCGTGGTAGACTTTGATTTTGAATCGGGCTTACGTAAATTGCCAGTTTCCTGTGTCTCGTTAATACAAAGTTCCAAAGCTATAACTCCCTCCCCTTTAATGAAAACTGAGTGACCACATCTCAACTTCTGTTTATCGGCTCATTTCTTAGATACTCAGAGAAGATGGCAGACCTCGGTACCGCACGACCTCTCAATGTTGAAACCAGCTGTATAGAAACTCCACAAAATTATGGTCTAAGCCAAGCTTCCTATAGCTGTCGATGTTTGCGTTCGATAATCCCAATTTTCCTTATTCTGGCATGCGCTGGTTTTGTGGTGTTTGTGGCGGGAATTACTTCACTGGTAGCCCACGGTCCAGAGAATGGAGGAGCCATATTAGCAGGCGTAGGCTGTTCCGTTTTCGCGTTTGGCATGTTTTGCGTGGCGGTTGTTAAGATAAAGCAAGTACGATCGCTGAAAGGTGCTACTTGGCAGAATGATAGAACTGAAATGGTTGTACTAGACAGTACCCTGCGAGCGTATTCAGCTGGCGGTTTCTCTGCATTCACAGGTTTGTACTCACACAGCCTACTTATACCCGATGGCTATAGTCCTCCAAGATACGAAGATGTTATTGGATCTACCGATCGCGCTCGCCACGCTCAGATTGAAACAGTTTCCCATCGGTCCAAATCTGAATCAGATACATCAAAGGCATTTGATACACCTCCTCCATACGAACAAGCAGTATCTTTTTTAGGAGAGAGCCCAATTAATGTTGATCAGTGCTAAGACGTTGTTCTATTGTTAACAAAAAAGGGCAACACGTCACAGCAATTTATCGATGCCCCCTGGTATGAATTCAGAACTGGCACATAATTGACATGTGCATATTAAGTTTTTCTTTTGAGACTACAGCCGAAATGTAAGTCTCTTTGTTATAAGGATTACCGCCAAGCTCTAGTATTAGAGGCTGCCATTGCACTGACAGTAGGGACTTAACTGGATCCAACGACGCGAACGGCAAGGAGAACGTCAAAAAAACAATTGGTTTAATAAGCAAAACAACAACTTCGCACGTGCATCACGCTTTTTTGTACATTTCTTTTCTGTTTTTGCACGACTACGACGTGAAAATGCCTAATTTGGCGTTTTATGGAGGACGTAAACAAGCAACAACGAAATTTTATTTCTCTTTCTGAGCTTGGATATATGGTCCCTTGAAATTTAGCTTCAGGAGGGTTCGCCTACATTTCACAAAGTAAAAAGGGAGGAATAATCGCTATTAAGACTGAAGGAACGTAAATTCACTTTTTAAGCGACGTTCTCGTTAGCGTCGCGTCGTTAGATCTTAAAGTCCCTTTTATATAAATATTAACTAGTTATCACGACAAGAATATTTTTCTAAGTGGAAGTGAAGTCTCTTCGGTACTCTGAGTTGAGTGCCGATATACTGAAAGTGCAGTGTAAGTGGTCACAGATAATTTGCTTAAAACAATATCACTGTGTTTAATGTTTTCAGCTCGAGGGGCGAGGATACAATGTAAATGAATCACGTATTTCAATTTAAACGCGATGAAAGTACTTACGTATACGTTATGGAGGAGGAAATTGAAAAATGCTATTGATGATTATTATAAATTTTGATTATATCAAAGATTAGAACATTATGTAGCGATGTTTCTGAAGAAGGCTGGGGAAGCGGAGGGCCATGTTCAGCTTCAAACCTTATTCTGGGCTAAGTACTAAAAATCTCTTAATTGGTTGTCACCAGAAACTTCAATCATATTCAAAAACCGCTCATATGTGATAAATATGACAGTTTACCACGCAGTTTGCCCCTCTGTTTGTGATCGACTCAACGCTGCTAATGTGACGTAAACACAAGTTGCGCCTATAAAATGAGTTTTTCCTAGACAATTCCCTTTCCTATATATGCTCTGGCGTCAAGCAAAGTAATCACGCTTCCAGACTGGTGAGATATTATAGTTTAATCAATTAAAAAACGGCTGTGTCAAGGATTTTTAGCTATCGTCTTAAACCTCCTTCTCCTTGAAATCCGGAATAAAGCAGGTAAAATGGTTTAATTTACTCGACTTCTCCACCTAAAATAATAGTAATTGTGTTGTCCTTCTTTCTCAACGATGGAAAGCGATTGAGTGAAAAAATTGGACAGCAAAGTTTTCGAATTCCGAATTTGAAAACGTTGACGGCCAATTTTGCTTTTCCTTTAACCCTTTAAGTCCCATTATATCCACATAAAAATTCTCCAAACTGATCTCTATACATTTTCTTTAGGAATTAGTTAAGAGAATTTGATAAAAGATCAAAGTATTTTCTCTTATGTGATCATTTTATAAATTCTCACAACCTAATCTCATGATAATGTATGAATATCGTTAGGAGAAAATTGCTGTTGGACACTATTGGGACATAAAGGGTTAAGCGAATGACAGCGTGATATTTTTTTATTTGAGAAACAAGATACATCGAGGTACTTGAGCTTGAGCCATGCCGTGTCAAGAGCTTGCGCAACACACCATGCTTTACGACAAAGCTCCTTTAACAATTCACGACTAAAACAATAGAGTTCATGCCAACTTTGTTCTATGGTGACTTGCTTACACGTGTTTTCTGACTAGTTCCCATTCTCTCCCTTCATTGTGGAACGTGCATGGGATAGGCTGCGTGTTTGTTGATGCACAGTCAGTCTGTTATAGTTCCTGCGATATCCAGCAGAAAAAAGTATCAAAAATTAAACGGTACGCCTTCTTACTAAAATAGAAAAATAAAGCAATATCTGAATTCATCCAGTCACTGCCAGTTTTAGACGCTTCAGGGCGATTCAGTTCTTCACAGCTTGCTTTCGATCGCTTGTGAAATAATAGTTATTTCTGTATGGGCATCGAAGTGATTACCAAGTTCTTCACTTTTCTGCCGACCCATCAAGTTGATAACCACGAAACATACTACCCCAGCTATGTATACAGTTATACCGGCAGTTGCTAACGCATTCCTTGAAGGTGAACTGAGGCCAATGACCATAAGAACTGCTCCAGTAGCGACAATACTCAAGGGCAAAAAGCAAAGGTACGTAAGATGGCAGGGACTCGCAAGCGACTTGCTAGCTGTTTTTGCAATGTCTTGTTTAGAGAAAACGTCCGACTCCTGCACAAATACTTGTGTCATTGTGCTGTTCTGCCTTTCTTTGAAATAATACTGTAACTTTTTCAATCAGAGTGGATGCTTTCCACAAAATATAAAAACATGTTTTCGACTGGCAAGATTTCAGTAGTGTAACAGCTGATTCATGGCATTTTCACACCGGGCCCAGCTGATCAACCGGATTCTAAAATCCAAAATATTTTTAAGCTCTCCCATTTGAAGATGCTGCTAAGTTCAAAACAGAGCTGAGGGCAAATAAAGGTTAAAAATAGTCCCAATTTAAACATTGTTACATACGTACCAACCCCGCGGTTTCCGCGGTATGGCCAGTACCTTACGCATGCCACAACCATGTTTTGCGGTTCCCAACCAACAGCTACTACTTGCATACGGTAGAGCTGGTGCTTAAAGGAGTCGGTAATGTGTTTTTGCTCAGTGGCTGCCAGGAAAATCCGACCTTGGTAAATTACTCAAATGGGGGAAGATAAAACGCCCTCTAAAGCGTTTTATTTGAATACAGGCGATAAAAAGAAATCGAAATACAGCCCGCAAAAAATACACAGTTCAATTGAATTTGGATCAAAACAGTTCAAGTCACGTTTCATGCGGCGTGATCGGGTTTGATTAATTGCGCATCAGTAAAACCGTTCGTGATTGGATGAAACTGGCGCGTTGCAGGGGATAAAAGTCCTTCGCGGTGGGGCAAACTACCGGAACCGGAAATGAGAAGCGAAGGACTTTGAGAAAGTCTATACTCGCCTCTGTAATAACCGGCAGGGTCGATGAACGCAAGTGAGACCTCTCGCCTGGGACTGTGCCATCCCGATGAGTTCTCATGAGGACAAAACAGCTGTCCGTGGCTGCCACTACCAGGGTGATGTGATTGTACGCTTGCGTAAGGGTACTCGCCGTACTGCGGAGTTTGTACGTGTGCTTCACTGCTTGGTATTGTAACAAGGTCCACCCGGTTTCCCTTTTTAGCTTCGCTTCGGTACTCACGCTGTTTTTCACAAGGGGTTAGGTCGATATCCCATTGTAGAGATTTTTAAGGCTTTGATCGGACATGTTTTCTTCGACTCCCAAGGCTAAGGAGTTAGAAATCTTGAGGAGACGAAGAGGTGAATAATAGGAAAGGGAAAGGGGGCCGGTTTATGTCCTCCTCCCTAAATCCCTCGCCTATTTTCCCCCTTTTCCCGCTGTACCAAGGGGTCCTCCTTGGTTAAAAAACAATTTGTTCACTTTACCTCAAAAGTTTCACGTAGATTGATTCCCAATTTTCAGTCAATAGTATACAATTAAAAGAGCCAGCCAAGGACAAATACCATTGTCCAGTTGAGTAGCAAAAAGTACCCCTCTCGTGATTAGCGTGCGAGAAACTAAAAGGCGACGGGTTTCACTGCCAGTCACACGCTTTGTACTGCCAATTACAGATTCGCACGCGAGTCAGTTCTTTCCTCTATCACACAGACTACTGCCTAGTATATGGCCTAAACGAGAAGCGGGACTAGGCTTTAGCTTGCGCTTCAACTGTAATTACAGTTCGAGAGGACAAGTTACCAAGTAAGAGAGTAAACAGAGTTATTATATATATTTCCCTAGATAAGGCGAAATAGCGCGAATAACTGAACACAGTTGCAAGTGACAGTAGTCTGGAAAACCGTGTGGGTGTAATGAATCGGCCCACTAAACTCACCCTGACAACTCAGTGTCTCTTTACTGCACATTTTATGCGTTCCTCTGTCTCCGGGCCGTATGACTTAGTCGGCGGTATAATCATGTCTTTTACGTTCGATTATGTCAATGTCCAGTGGTATAGCTGTTGGGGAGATAGCTTCACACTGAAAAGAACATATGAAGGCCACGATGGAGTGATAATGTCGAGGCGGGTAGGTATGATTAAGTTAGGCTTATTAACAGCTAGGGTTTTTGCGCTATAGATAGATAGATAGATAGATAGATAGACAGACAGATAGATAGATAGATAGATAGATAGATAGATAGATAGATAGATAGATAGATAGATAGATAGATAGATAGCTTTAATTCAAATCATATGGCAGCCCTCTAAGGCTGAATTGCATGAATTTACAAATACAATTGATACAAAACTTAAAATGTGAAAATAAAGTAATTAAAATATGTATATACATATTTACTTACAAGGTTTTCAAGTTAGCAGCTGTTAAAGATTACAATAAATAGTAAATTAAAATAATGACAGCGAATGAAAAATAGCAAATAAAAATAGCAAAACAAAATTACTACACAGAGAAAAGAGAGAAAGAAAGGGATCCGGCACTGTTAATACTGGTCGTATTTGCAGGATTGCTACAGTTTTACAAGTTTTTAATTTTAATATTTCAAGAATTGAAGATGGTGTAAGGTACAAATTCTCTTGTTTAAAAATATTAATACAGGAAAGCGTTTCATGCATTTGTTTCTTTGATAAGTTTCCACTGGCAGACTTTTCAATATCTTGTGGTAACGCATTCGATAGCCGCACGCCAATGCAAATCGCCGGGAAAATGAATTCTTCAGTTGTTCATGACTAGAAGACATGACACAAAATTTGTTGGTAGTTGCTGATCTGGTGTTGTAAGAATGGATATCTGAGACATGGGTGAATAAATTTTGAATACGCGCAGGAGCTACAACCAGTTGCAAAAATGTTGAGACACTCCCATGAAAAAACGACCTTTCTTGCTGCAAATCGCTCCTGTTCACGGGTGTGTGAGATATAATACTGACCTCCCTCCTCCCTCCCATTCAAAGTTGTTCCTCCAAGTTTTGAGTATGGTCTTCTATTGCTAGCAACTTTGATAAGGGATGGAGGAGGGATCACACGCACAAGATCATGGACAGGCCATTTATGCCAAAATACGGTACAGTGTCTCAAGTGCGTTTGCAACTGGTTGTAGCTTGTTTTAGACATCATACATTAAACAAGAAACAGATTCGAAGTAAAGAAAATGAACAGGCAGGATATTAAGATAAACAAAAAAAGGAATAGCCTGTTCATGCTTTGGAGAAACGTTTATCAAACGTATAGCCTGCTTTTGAAGGAGAAGAAGCTTATCCAATGTTGACTTTGACGCTTAACCCCACGAGCTAATTCCATACACAGGTGAGGTAGGGGAAAGTAAGAGACTGATATAACTTGAAAATAATAGAAAGGTGTACAAAGTGTCTCAGTTTAGCTATCATGCCAATGGTCTTACTAATTTGTAGAGCCATTAGTAATCCAATGAGCTTTCCATTTAAGATTCTTGTTAATAAGTATGCCAAGATATTTCACATAATCTTTACCATTCTAATGGTGAATGTGCATGACATTTTGTCGTTGCCAAAAATATTTATAGTTGGTTGAAAAGATAGCTTCTTTCTATAATTTCGAAATGTCACATAATTAGATTTCTTAGCATTTAGAGTTAGTTTGTTCGCTGTCAACCATTCGCAGAGTTTGTTTAACTCAAAATTTACTTCTCATTCTAGGGATTTAAGGTTTCTATTACTGTACAAGATAACTGGTATCATCAGCAAATAAATAAAACATGAACTTACTATGCATCGACACAGTTGGTTATAATATAACAAAAGTTTTTTGCTTCACCAGTTGTTACTGATTATTAGTGGCTATCTACACTATCTACAAGGTTTAGTTACAGGACTTGTTTCTTGGATGGCTGCTCAATTATAGCCTCTTTTTGTTGAGCGTATCTACAATTATTAAAACTCCTAAATTTATTAGTTCTCGCTGCGAGTTCATACATGGCGTGAAATCCTGGAGCGCCTTTTAACAAGTAATTTAACTCCTGTCGGTGTTAAAAATTATAGACACCTCTCCGCTGCTCTCGGACTGGAGTGCTGAGGATCATGTCGGAGTTTCAGTTTTAAAAGCCCCTTCAAAAA